CAATTTCAGTCTTCTGAACATAGGGACATATGTATGGCTTGATCTGGAAAGGTTTGGATCCCTTTTTGAGGGTAATGGAATGATCATGACTCCTCTCAGGAGCAGTCCTTGAGGCTCCTTGAATACTTCCTCAAAATCCTGCAATACTCCTTCCATTTTTGGGGGAATATTGTCACTATTTTGTGCCTCCTCATCTACTGCACTCAGTTGTGCCAAAATCCCATAGGCCTGTTTCCTAGCCCACTTGTGTAACCTGCTTCCCTTTATCAGCTTTAGCTGCACCTGATCAATTTTCTCCCTTCAATTCTACCTGCTGTTTTCCTTTCTTGAACTTCACACTCAACCCCTTGAAGTCAAACTCCATGGGACTGAATCTGGCAAACCAGTCTACTCCTAGCACCATATCATATCCCCCCAACTTCAGTGTGTTGAACTGGTGTTGGAACTCATAGCCTTGCATCTTCCATACAACAGGCTTGGTTAGACTTCTGGACTGCACCTTTTCTCTACTAGCTACATTGACCACCAGGGAAGGTCCACTACTGTCCAATCTTAAGCTTCTAGCTAGCTGCTCATCTAGGAAGCAGTGAGTACTACCACTATCAATTAGTGCAGTGATAGTCCTCCCTTTTATTATCCCCTTTAGTCTGATAGTTTTGTGCTCTCTTCCTCCTGCTAGAGCATGTACAGAAACTTCTATGTGCTCATCCCCCAATTTGCCCTCAATGCAGGCACAAAAAACATCAGGTTCAGTCTCCTTCTCGCCTTCATTAGCTACAGGGTCCTCATTGTCATCATTTACTAGCAAGAGATGGATATGGGATTGTTTACATATGTGGCCAATAGTGTATGTTTTAGCACATCTATAACACAGTCCCTTCTCTTTTTTGAGGTTAAACTCACTAGGGGTGATTCTTTTGAACTGGTTTATGTGGCTGTTTGGATTTTTGTAGCTGTTTGTGAGAGGTTTATCTGAGGGTCTGGAGGTGGAGGGGTTCCATTTGTTATGGTTCTGCGGGTGGAAGGGTGTTTTGTGGGACTGTGGGGTGTTAGATAGGGGCTTGTGGATCTTTTGCATGGCTTTTAGGTTCTTTTCCTGTAGCTTGGCTACTTCTATTGCATCAACCAGAGTTGGGGGCTTAGCCATTTTAGCCATATTAACTATTTCATCCTTCAAACCACTCAAAAAACATGCCTTATAATAGGAATCAGCCAAATAAGGGAGGGAAGGCATTACCAGTGCTTTGAGCAGTTCAAACTTCTCCAGGTAGTCTGCTACAAATCCTTCCTGTCTTAGTTTGTTGAATTCTTCAATAGCTTCCTCAGGAGTGCCTTCTCCAAATCTTCCACAGAATGTAGTGGCCAGTTCAGTCCATGGAATGGTTCCTGTGCCATTGAACACCCCATGGAACCAGATGTCAGCTTTGTCCCTGAGGTATAGTTCAGCAATCTTAGATTTTATTTTCTCCTCTACTCCATTGATCTTGGAGAACTTGTTAGCCTTACGGATCCATTCCCTTGGGTTATCTCCTGTGAAGTTAGGCAGCTCCATCTTAGGCACTCTGGTATAGGATTTACTCTCCTTCCAATCTAATCTGCCAAGGCCCTCCCCTTGTGTTTCTCCCTTCCTGCCTCCTTCCTTAGGTCCTGCTATGGAGCTGCTACTCTCTGCCTCTTTGTCCTTGTCATTGAACTTTGCCATCATAGACATCATGCTTTCATACTTCTGGTCTAAATTTTTAAGAGTTCTCTCTGTGCTCTAGAATTTTGACCATATTGCCTAGCTCAGATAGATCCTTCCTTGACACTTCATCTTGTGATTTTGTCATCCCAATGGCTCGTGGCTAAGCTCTGGTAGCTAAGCTCTGATACCACTGTTATGGTATAGAACCAGATTTCAGCAATGGTGATAGATTATGTTCAGCAGCAGTAAACTAGTGCTAACAAAAAATTGAATGGAATAGGAAAATGGGGAAAGTAATGAACTTAGCTTCTCATTAATAACTTGAATAATCAATCACGGAAATAGAAACAACGGATTCAGAGTGAAGGGGAAAGAATGAAGGAAAATGTGAAAGGGAAAGGAGGGAGATTAGCAGAGCCAAATCTCCTTTTTACAACCAATTGAAAAAAATGACAAAACTTAGCTATCACTAGGATCCTATCAGCCTTTTATGGCCATTTCCGGACTAACTAACTTCTAAACAAGCCAATAAGGTAAGGACACATGGGATTCTAGAATAATCAGCTCCACTTGCTCATAACAGAAGCATGATTCTGTTGTGCTAAGAAAAGGCGTGGATTTGAAGACGCGCCTTCTCCTTCCTCCAAGCTGGTCGACCACGCCTTCTTTGTAATCTAGAACACGCCTTCTTCTTTCTTCAAGCTGGACTGGAAGATCTTCCTGCAATTCCTTTACACTCCATGACAATTCTGCTTTTCTTTTTAGGCTTTACTAATACAATGGATCCATAACAAATATCATGAAAACAGCATAAAATTATAGGAATACTCCCTTGTTGAATTTATTGACTACCACACTTTGCACCTTCACATGCAATATTTGCACCACCGCACTATCTTGTTTTCTACCAACAATTGCATATGTTTCAGTAATTACATTCAAAGAGCAATAGAGAAAGGCCTATACAAGTTTGCTGATGCACGTGAGGGGCAAATAGAAATGAAAAAAAAATGATTTTAGCATTTTGTCAATATCAACATGATTGACATCGACACTGTGATAGGAATCAGCAATAGCACTCTGTAGAATCATAAACTACTTCCATGGTCAGTTCTCAAGCTGTCACAAAATGTTCAAAAAGTCGACGGTGTGATTAGTGCATCGGTCGGTTGTAGCAGGTGACTTAGGTAGTATCCTAAATAACTCAATGTCGGAATGAAATTGTATATGGAGCTAAGGTTAAGGGGGCCGATCCTGAACAAATTACACTCATGATTAATGGTAAACCACAAATTTGGGTGTAGTGTCGACAACTTGAGGCACAGATTCCACAACACATTGAACAATTTGCTAATGCGAAGATCAGTTGTGTCGCAAAAGATTTACAAAAATCACTCATGATCTAAGGTGACTCTTTAGTGCTGATCCTCAACATAGGTCAAGGTCAAGGTCAAGGATCACGTGGGTGAACAAATAACACTACCACTTACAGGTTGAAGTAGCGGTAAATGTGGCAGGACGATGAAAAGAAAGATAGTCCTTGAAGATAGACTTTCATTTGAAAGCAGCCAAGGTCGTGTTGGCAAGATATCTGCCATAGAGAAAAATAGGCCAAATCATCCAAGAGTAGTAAAGCCGATAAATACAAAGATTGGCAAGTGGGTAAGACATTCCAAGTTTCCATCTAGCATGGATCCGCGCGAAATGACAAAAAGGCAAAAGCGCAATAGCGAAATGGCAGAGACAAAAGTAGCAAGAGAGGATGGCAAAAGCAGATAACACTATCCCTGAACTCTAGAGGGGACAAGGGGCTTCTGTGGCTTCCACTGGACCCCCAAAACTTACATTGTTTTAATGATAACAACCAGCACTTATGTTTTTGTCAAGTTTTGTTGCAGAATATATGGACATTTAAGATATGCAAAGCAATTATACTAATGCTCATTTGACCATTCGATTGTCTCATGAAAGTTTTGCAAAAGGAGTAATTTTACACTACTCAGACACATAATCAAACGTTTCAACAAATTCTTAATTGAAAATTACTTAATTGAAAAAGGCCACAAATTTTACAAAGATTAGTAATTTTTGCTAGAAATTACTTATTTGAAAAAGCCAAAGATGATGCTATCGCAGCAGGGAGACAACCTCTATCTTCAAATGATCTATCCTCATCCTAAGCGTTTACTTAACCTACATCTTGCCTGACAACCATTGTTCAAGACTTGATTTCAAAACTCATTTCTGTTGAAAAGAAAACCACATCCTTGAACTCTAAATTTCATAAAATCTGATTGAAACAAAAGTATTTGAAACAAGGCCTGTTGCTTGGCATGACAAATTTTGAGCAGACCAAATACTTAGCCTTCGAGGAGCAGCTACTCATTGATTCAGAGAGTGAAGAAGAACAGGAAGAACAGGCACCAACTACTGAGATACCTAAGGTTGACTTAGAACAAGAGACTCAAACTGCTGCTCCTTGGCCTACTGCAATTCAATCGGAAAAGGTTCCTGAAACCATTTACGGCTACCACGTGTACAGATCATTAAGTAGTGACAGTTGAGACAGTCGAGAAAGATACCCTAAAGGGGGTTAAGTTTAATCAAACACTTCATCGACAAAGCGAATGTCAATAAGTTGTTTAAGGGGAGCATCTGTTGGTGCAATATACATATAACTTATTGGTAGTTGGCAATCGGCTTGATAGCTAGTACTTACCCAATGTTGGTTAGCCGTAATCGGTTAATGGAAACATGTTGGTAACATTCATTTGAGGTTGATTAATAATGGGTATAGGAAAATTGGCTGTAATACAAGAAACTCATCAACTGTGGTAGATGAAAGTCGCATGGGACATTGATTAGTAACTAATCTTCGTAAATCGGCAACCGGGAATATATTGGCCGCTATGCTAGCTCAAAGTTGAGGAAGCTCATAAGTGTGAATAGTGAAGAGGAAAGATTAGCGATTATGGCTACATGGTTTTTAATGTGTAGAAAGGTGCGCCAATATATGCTCATCGATGTACACAAGTGTCAATGCAAAAGGAGCTGATAAAGGATTGGATACTGACAAAGAATAGAGTTGGTGAAACAGTTAGCAAAGGAAGGATGTAAGAATCAGTTGCTCTCCCTATAAATTAGGAAAGCGGTGATTACGTTATCCCTAAAATATGGGATTGGGTAGTTACCACTATGCATGAGGGAGATAGGATCATAACGTGGAACATGAAGGAAGTGGACTTACTAGAAGAAACCGTTGTTGATCTTTTGGAGGGAAGCTTCCATTATAAATAGATGACGATTCATCAGAGTGATGGGGTTACAGGGGAAGAAGAAAGGAAAGAGGGGGAGGAGGGAGGAGGGAAAAGGAGGGAGGAGGGAAAAAAGGGGAGGAGAAAGAAGGAAGATAAAGAGGGAGGAAAGAAGAGAATGGAGGGGAGAGGGGTGGTGGTGGTGTGTGATGGGTGATAATGGTGAGCAGTGGGTGGAAGAGGAAAGGAAAGGTAGGATTTGTTATATTTTTTTAAAATTTTGTATTTTTATTAGTTGTATTTGAGATTGTATTTAGAGTAATTTTTGGAGTGTTTTGGGAATGTGTTACTGTAATATTGTTTTTGAAAAATAATATTTGAAAAGCACCTTAATCCAAACAGATACATGGAAATTTGTAAATATAACCAATCATTTAGAGTTGTATAAGAATATTAGATTATCACTATCTTTTAGTGTCCTTCTAGTTTCTCCACAAAGACAAGATAAATTTGTCTTTTTTTTTTCAAAATTTTCATATTCTTGAGTGCTTAGTGAATTAATTCTATTAATGCAAAACTTAGTCAATTATCAGGTATCATTGTATCCTAAAAGGTTAATTTGAGAGAGTCTTTTACGCGCCAATACAATAGGGCAAATTAAACTTTAAGGAAAGTGACATTGCAAGGCGCCTTGAAGCAACCTCTCCTCATCCAATATTCTGGTATAAAAGCTATCCTAAATCTTTGTTCTGCCAATCTCAAGGTTTAATTGTGTTCCACAAAACTGGGGTTCAAAAAATTAAGAATGATGCAAGGAACATGCCCATGGAGAAAATCAAACAGATTGCCGGAGTCTACACTATAAGCTTTTTATAGGACCATTGTCCAAGAATGGTATACACATGACATTTTAAGGGGTATGTCTGAGTACTTTAAGATATGTATTAAAATGTTTTTTATGCTAAAAATGTAAGGGGACAAGTTGAATGAAAGATCATAAAGGAAAAACTACAAGTAAGAAAGTTATATTTATTTTCTTCGTAATAAATATAACTATCTTACTTCTTTTATTAACAATTATGGTAGTATAGAAAATGTGAAGTCCGTATTATAAATATCACATTTCGAATGCTAGAAAAAGATATATTTTTATTTCTCTTCGAATACATTGAGATGTGGAGTGAATTCATGTTGGGAATATGATATGATGCCGCCTTATACATCAATTCATTTCCAACCTGCATTAGATTGTATTTTTGAAATACAGAGTCTAATGCATGCATCGGAGACTTTCTTTTGAGGTTTTCTCTGTGGTCTTGGAAAGTCAATCCATTTACGCGGGTGCCTCAATCTTGAATAAGATACTCTTGCTTTGACCGGATGGCTCAATTATTTTGCAAATTAACTAAGTTGCAGCTTTTCTTGGACTCAAATCCGACTGGCAATCCATGGCCGGATGCTCCCCTGTTTTTGCCAAAAAATTGCACGAGAAACACTTCTAAAGTGGATCCGCGAGATGATCCGTGGACTTGAGGTCCACGAATCCGTCATTTTGCTTTGTTCTTTATCATTCTTTTGCTCTCTGCTTGCAATCTGTCCAGGAATCAGGGCCCAGATTGATATGGAAATTTCTCCGTGAAGAAAGCTAAATTAGCTTTTGTGTAAAACATTAAAGTTATAGTCCTTTGAGATAGCTTTCCAATGGCTCAAGAATCAAGTCATTTTGACATCTAGGGACTGAGTTATGGCCAAAACACTAATGACTGGTCAGAAAGTATTGTAGAAGAAAAGTACTTCAGTAATTTGAACTTTTGGCTATGAAAACATCAGAACTGGATTTGGTGTCTTCATAAGAATTGTAGTTCTTCCTCTTATCTTTAAAATGGCTTAAGAATAATCGCAATCAAGGCTATCTAGCTCAAGTTATAGCCAATGTACCAAAATATATCATTGCTGCAAATGCTTTTCTTCTTGTTTCTTGCTTGCATTTCATCCTTTGGTTATTCATGTCACATGATTTCCACTTTAAATCATCAACAATCATACAAGTATCTTCTCACTTTCCTTCAATTGATGATTGAATTATCAAAACCTATAAAAACATGAAATTTTAACCATTTAGTCTATAGAAATACCATGCTTCCCAATTTAATCACAAAATGCAAAACTTAACTGAAAACCTAGTTATTCGACTCAAATTTAAATGAAAACACACTGAAATACACATAAATAACTACACATAAATATGCAAAACAAGCACTTATCACACCTCCACACTTAAATCATTGCTTGTTTTGCATACAAGCAAAACTAATAGTGGAATCATTGCTTGTTTTGCATACAAGCAAAACAAGTACTAATAGTAAACTATTAGCACTTATCAAAACTAATGATCCAAAGTAGTGGAATTGCACACAATAGAGACTCATGTGTTAAGGCACAAAAGAGATGATCACCGTGTGAATTTCGAATCCAATTCTAGTACTTCATAATATGAAACAAAGGAAAGTTTATCATACCATCATTTGATGAAGTTCAATACCATGTATCGTCTCTAATCTAATCATACTTGCCATGCAACTAACATAACTTTCGCACTTGGATCACATACTTCCTTTTTTTTTTTTTTTTTTACTTTCTCATCAAACTTTACTCGAGTTATGATCTTGTTTTTTGACGCGACGACAAACATTGGTAGATGCATGTCTCCGATTACTCAATCAAGTCACAAACTCTTGTTGTTTTGCATATTCTTTATTCTAACACTATTTTACGCAAAAGTTGACATTTTTAGATGAAAACCCTTGGTTACTAAGTACTTTAAATCATTGGAATAGATTTTGTATGATCAATAACAATGCAATCTTTCTTTTTCTTCTTTTGTAAAAAAACAAAAACCACATAACTTGATCCATGCAAAAACTAGAACTAAGGGGAAAATCACAAGAAAAGCTTCACATTCATCAATCATACTAATAACACAAGCTTACATAAATAAACCAAGAACAATTACACTTCATGAACTTAAAGAAATCTTGGCATGATAAACTCCACTTTGCGAGACATTATGTTTCCCGAATTAAAACTCTAGGCTTACACAATAACAATCTCAAAGTCTTTTCATAGAACCTCATGTCAACAAGCATGACAGCATCAATTCAAATTTAAACTTCCTTCCCCCACACCTAAATTTGACATTATACTCCATAAGAAAGGAGATAAAATAGAATTAGAAATGGTACTCCTTATGTACTTTTGACATGATTCAACTAAAACACAACCAAAAAATACTATTGGCAACAAATTTTTGGAAAAATTTCAATAGAGTTTCCCCTTATATCTGGACAAAACTCCCTGCCAACAATCCCAAATTTTAATTTACGCATACCTATCACCATCTATCCAAATTTTCAACAAATACATCAATTTCAACGTGAATACCAAGGAATGGATTCAATTTCAACCATTAACCCCCACACTTAGAGCATACAATATCCTCAATGTGAAAAGTTAAAGGGAAAGAAAAAGGAATACTCCCCTAGTGTATTAGGTGTTTTGTTGTGGTTGCACACCAAGTCTCTATTGAAAGTGCTCCTTTTGCCTTTATTCTTCAAACCTATAAAATAGAGACAAACACACTTAAAACACACCAAAAACATGAAACTAAAGTTACTGTTGGGTTGCCTCCTAACAAACACTTGTTTATAGTCATTAACTTGACTATATTGCCTCTTTCTCAAGGAAGTTTTGTCAAAGAATAATTCACCAAATTAGGTCATGGTGGATCAACAAATGATTACTCGATTGCATAAGCCATGTATCCGAATGATAAGAGAGACGGGAAGGGTTTACCTGTCTGAAGTGATTCATAGATATTATCTTGAATATGTCACTTGAGCACTCTGGGAGATAATATTTGTAGAACCTACACCTTCAAAACACTCCTCAAGAGGGGTTAAGTATAAAATCATTGATGTTCATCTCTTGAGTTTCATCATTAGTTCCAAGGATGTTATCTTGTGAAATGAACACTTTCTCATTACCACCATTCATGTTAGGTTAATTTTGAATATCACTAGAAGAAATAACTTTACACAAATCATGCATTTAGTCCTGAATTTTACCAAAATGAGAAACTAATTCATTTAACCTATCCTCAACCTTAGCAAAATGATCAGAAATTGCATTAGTTAGCCTTTCTATATCTAAAACAAATTGATTAGAAGATTTTTCTATGGCTAGCTCCCAAAATGGTTTAAAATCATTATGCGAGAGCTCGAAAATTTTTATGTCTCATTTACAATTTAGCGCATGTTGCATTTTCCTTTTTATTAGTAATTGGTCTACATGTTTATTCTTTTAATAAACAAATGAATCGATACACTTTAGGAGAAATTCTATCATCTATACCATAATCCATTAATACAAGTCAGATTTTGTTGAAAAAAAAACAAAACAACAATAGCAACGTGAAGGACACTTGTCCTCACCAGCTGCCCAAGGAGCATGCAAATGCATTATCATCTTATATTTCAGTAGGTCAAAGAGGTACATACGTAGAAGTTAGCCTAGTTTTCCTCTTTCTTAGCTTAGTTACCCAAGAGACCATCAAGAGGAAAAGGAGAGAAAGACCAAAACAACTAGGAAACCATTTCTTACCTTTCTTCCACCATGAGAACCAGCTAGGAATCAAGAAGGACTTTAGCCTATGAAGCTAAGAATCGGGGGGAGAGAGAGAGATCATAAGTTTTCTTAACTTAAAGCCATTAAGAACAAGAAGTAATCTACTGAATTTCTTTCCATTTTCTTTTGCGTTTAGCTAGCAGTCTCTTAGACTGAGTTAGAACGAAGAAAAGAAGAAAATTTCTAGGAAACAAAGTTCAATAAATCTGGAAAATTTCATTTAAAGCTGCTACAAGATACCCAATGAACTAAGCTGAAATTCCTAGTTGTTTTCTTCAAAAACCTATTCAAATTATGTTTGTATGTCTTATATATACTCTCTAGCTGACACATCTTGACATGCATGCAGCTTATAACTTAAAATGAAGCCTGATAAGAATAGATTGTAAAGAAACTCTTGCTAGAATTCTTGATAGGGTAAAGTGTGGTTGCCGATAGGTTAAAGCTGGAAAATTTCAGTTTCTTGCCAAGAGTTTTTGTTCAGACTAGTTAAGACTTGTTTTGTGCACCACTTGTGACCTTAATCTAATGATGCATGTGATATTTGAAGTGTTAAAAGAAAAAAAACT